AGATTAGTCTTTGAACTGTACTTTTAGGGGAAGTTCAAAAGCCCAGGAAGAGTTAACAAGGTGAGTCACAAAAAAAGGAAACATCACAGCAGATGCAGAATCCAACACGGCATAATGATCCAACTAAAAGGTCACCAGACTGTTCAGGTAATGGAGACCAGAATTTCAGCTTTAAATCTGTCATTTCATGTTCTTTTGAACTTTTATTCTCATTTGCTGGTAAAGTCACAGAAAACTGAAAAGAGGAAGTAAAAATGGGGGGGAATTTAATTTAAACAGTGTGCTTCTGTGCATCAGAACTAAAAAAAACTTTTAATGAATGTCACTGTAGTAGAAAAAAATCTTTCTTGTTAGGTAATAATGTTGACTGTGCTGTGCAGTAAAACAGCATTCCAGCTGATTATTGAGTAAGTCAGACATGTTGACCATCTTTAACCCCAATGCCAGCCAAAGTAATTGCAATCCAATAAACTTATCTGGAGATTGTCATATGTCGTGAACGTGAAGTCTCTGTGCCGATTGTATGTGGTTCTCATATAAGTGGACACAGCAAACTTGCTGAAGAAGGTGGGTTTTTTTTATATTTGAGCAAAACTGAAAAATTTCCCTGCACGCAAAATCTTACCTGTAGTAGAAAATGGTTACAGTTGACCATCTCTGTTCTGAAACACGGTACCAACAGCATTATGTTCAGGGATTGCAGCTATGTGAACCAGTCACACCAGTTATTAAAGATTAAATCAATTTCATGTTTCATCGGTGAAACTGATTACCGTAATCTTAAATTTCCATTTAATCTCTGTTTTTTTCTTTAGATTTGCTGAAACTAAAAAAGTAATTGTTTACTATTGAGACTATAGTTGGGTAAAACTATGATTAATAAATCACTGTCTGCTTATTACTATTTATAAACAAAGCAAAGAGTAGACATAAATTATAATTTCAAGTAATTTTTAATTCTGGGTATTTTGATTCTGATTGATTCTGATTAGACTTTAAGATGTGGCATTGCCAAAGGTCTACCATTCCCTTGGTTTTAAAGTTTATTATTTTCTCATTCGATCAAGAACCCAGTTGTTGGCTCACACAAAAAAGTTATTTAGCCTTTATCTCAAACTAGACTAATTCCGATTGCATCAACACCGAATGACATTCATCACAAACACAATTGTGGTCTTGGTGTCTCATTTGAATCTGGATTTTGTTGACTGTTGCAGCAACAATCATTTGGTTATTTATATAAAATCCTAGTAAAATATATTTTTTGCTTTAATGCAAAAGTATGTGGAGAAGTTTAAGAATCTGAATACTTTTACAGGACAGTATAGATAACCTTACACATTTTGGATAAACTGATTGTCTTATCCATTGTGAAAAGCACTTTTCTTTGAACACATTCGGTGCTCTTTAATAACACAGTTAGATATGGTGCCAATAACGAGTTCTTGCCCAAGCAAAGAGCTCTTCAGAGCTGCTGATGTGTCTGACTGAGTGCCAGCTTTAGTTTTTATTCCTCATTAGCTCTCAGAAGCTGATTGATTGAGCAAACTGCTTCCTCTCCATCATAAATCAACATGCTCTCTGGGGGCGCGCGCATGCCGCGGCAAAACATGAACCCACTAGGGGGCAAATCTCGGGGTTTAGGTAATGGTTTAATCAGTCACTGACAGGAAGTACACTGATATTGTGATTACTAATTTTCACATGGCTGCGCTGCCAGAGTTTAGGACAGCTGCAATTTTCTTCTATAATAAAAGTTCTTAGCTCTACCTTATTATTTTCTTCTAAAGCAACCCTTTTTGCCTAATGTGACTAGTTTTTGTTAATTTGCTTTAAGACTGCAGCATTAATTTGAATTCCTATGAAGTGGAGATGAAGGCCAAGAGTGACACTGTTGATTTTGTAATTTCTTGCTTATTATCAGTTTCAGAGCACAAAGATATATATATATATATATATATATATATATATATATATATATATATATATATATATATATATATATATATATATATATATATATATATATATATATATATATATATATATATAGGTAGAGATAGAGAGGTTTATGATTAAATGTGCTAACTATTGCTGTGATATATTTTAGCCAGTCTGTTTGATCTCTTGTCCATTTAATTATAGTGGCTCTTTGTTTGTCAGGTACTCAAGGGGTCAAGAGGAGGAGAAAACAAACTTAGGCTCTAAATACATGATCTCTGCATTACATTTTGCCACTACCTCTGTGTTGGGGGTATATGTTTTCAGTATTGTCTTTGTCTGATTATTGCCCCCTCTGCTGTTCCCGTCTCTAACCTCAGTAAAGACCTGTGCTCTTTGATATCATGGAGGAAAAATCGATTCAATTTCTCCAAGCACTCTTGGAAGTCCGGGTCCATACGCCATCTAGATGCCGCTATGTTTTCATCTGGGTTCTGTTCCCTGGGAGCCGACCGCTGCTGCTATCAACTATTTGGCAAGCAGCTTTATTACCAGGCTTGAATGCATAGCAACAGTTACAATCATCCATAACCCTTGGCAAGAAATATGAGAATGAAACTCATCTATTTTATTAATGATGAAAAAAGTTTGGGATTTTTTTTCTGCCCCTTATTTTCTGCTGTTTAAAAGCAGCTTGAAATTAGGCTAGAAAAATTAGTCTTTAGACAAAATGGCCTAAGTGTTTAGCAATAAGATGCATCACACCCACAAAATATGGAACCTTTTAAAGGGCAAAGTCATCCTCCATGTTAGACATTAAGAATATGTATTTACAACTTTCTAAGTTTAAACTTCATTCACTATCATAGTTCATACTAAGTAGAAACTGAAGGTGTGTAGTCATTACTTATTTTAGCATTTAGTGATCTAAAATGTATGACCAAACGACTTACAAAGACATGATATTCATATTTTTTATGATTATTCATCCTTGATTCTAAATACTAGACACAAAACCTGTGGATGTAAGCTGGAATGGGCATGAGAGAGGACTTTGAATGATCAAGAGAGATTCTTTAAAGAGGAATGGGTAAGCATCCTGTTTCCTTTATTGTCCGACAATATGAAGTGTTGTAGTGTGTACTGTCATAAGACTGTTGTAGAAGTTATTACACCAGGGGTACCAAAATTTATGCCAACAGGGATTGTCTTAACAATTTTTTTTTTTTTTTAAGTATTTCTCGTTTAGGGCTGAACAGTGGATAGTCACAGTGGGTAGGGCTGTTGCCTTGCAGCAAGAAGGTTCTAGGTTTGATTCCTACCCAGGTCTTTCTGCATGGAGTTTGCATGTTCTCTCTGTACATACGTGGGTTCTCTCTTGGTACTCCGAGTTCCTCTCACAGTCCAAAATTGACTTGTCCTTAGGTGTTATTGTGTGTTTGTGCCTGGTTATGTGTCTTTGTGTGTCTTTGTGTTGCAATGTGACAGAATGGTGACCTTTCCAGGTTGTGCACTGCCTCTCGCCCGTATACTGCCGGAGACAGGCACTGGCCCCACCACAACCCTGACAAGGACTAAGCGGGAGAAAATGGATGGATGGATATTTTTCAATTAATTAATTTACTCAACTTAAAAGTTTTTATTCATTCTAATTTTCATTTCATTCACATTTTCAGTGTGAATCTGGTTTGGTACAATAAAACATTTGTTTTTATAATGCATGCCAGTAAATTTGGTTAACACTGTATACATGCACCATGTGCTAAAGAGTCATAGGAGGTAAATGCCTCAAATGAAAAAGGTATAAACTGAATTTTCCATGGAACTCTAAATTCACATTTTTTAGGTTTCTGCTCAGAAAAATTAGCTTTAATACAGGCTAAAGTCAGATCTTTTTTTATTTGATTGTCTACATTTAGTAATCCTGACCCCAAAATCAAGACTTTTGGTTCCAACATACAAAACGACAATGACCTCTTCTAAGTTTGTAGAAAGGTGGTGAGGCATAGATTATTTTAGCATTTATAATCCCACATCAGGAGATATTATTATAGATACTGACTTAACTAATTCATAACCAGACATTTGATCATACAGAGTTCCCATCCAACACTTTATTAACATTGTCGCAATATACTTGAAACCTCAGCAGCTCTAAAGTGTAATGAAGTATCCCGCCACATTTCATCAGTGTTACATGGCCTACATTAGTATTGTGATAATGTCTCACTTCACTTACCCCTGACATCCTAGTCATTGCAGTCTCTTCTGTCCGTTTTTATTGACACCTACAGACATTTTTTTTCTCCCAGTGGGAATTTGTACGGCACAGCTTTGATTTGCTTGTTTGATTAGTTTGATTAAAAAAGCTAAGATATTGATCTGACACTTTCACTGAAAAAATGTATTGCTTCGTTATTTGTCACTAAAGACTAAGCTGAGGGTTGGACAACCTTAGAGGCTGATGCTTTCTGGTTCATATGAAAATAATTAAAAGTAACGTTCCTAAGTAAAAACCTTTAAGTGCCACAGATTCTTCAGTAGATACCAGTAGATACAAGTTAGGACTCTGATTTTAAAACTTCATCTGATATTTGTATGAATATCTTTTATCTTGACTGTATTAGCATAGGTTGATTTTTTAAAGGTACACTAGATCTGGCTTGACAACCAATATTTAGTAAAGTGACATCTTGCTGATGTTTTCATGCAGGACAGCTTGTCAAAATTGCAGGGTAACACTAGATTGTTAACTGCTGATAATTTTGATGTTGACATAAATCAGTATTGTTTTAGTTAACTTTGGTCAGACAAACATGTAGAATGTAATGTGTTTAATAACCAGGGCCTGCTTTAGAAAATACTATCTTCCCAATTCAATATCATTCAGAGTACATTTGTTATTTGGATACCAAGTACGCTAAAAAGCAAGTGATCCCTGTTTTTGAAGCAAATATAAAACAGCAGATAGTTGCTGTATGTTATGAGACCAGGAGTTCATTTGAGATGCAGAAGACATGTTATGGAGAAAAAACAGCAACACAAGACATCAGACAGAATTTTGAAAACTTTTGACAGCCCCTTTATTATCACTCACACTTTAATATAACATATCAGCTTCATGAACTGTTCAATGCATTTTTGCAAAAAACAAAAACATCATGTTCCTCATTTAATTTTGTAAATGGATATCTATCAATACATTTATTTAGTAGGTAATAGTGTATAAAAACATTTTAATTTTAATAGTTTCAAATATACTAATCTATGTCCTTTGTGATATAAATTTCTCTTTGGGCAGGATTACTCCTATGTCACACAGAGCTTACATAAAATGGCTGTGGCACCACCACCCCTGGTCCTTGGTATGTTATCTTTTTTTGTTGAAAGTTTAAGTCTAACCCAGATAACCTGAATGAAATGGAGATAAGCAGGGAGTATTATCCATTTCTATTGTTACCCTGTGCCTGGTCTGCCTGTAGCTCTAGAGGAAAAGGAGAGGATGACATGAGCCCAGCTTGTCTTTGAAAAGCAGGTGTACCTTTCCCCTTTATGCTGGACCTGAATGAGGAATGATGGCAAATGGACAGAAATAAAGTTTTATTTCAACTGTAAGCTGCAGCAGAGCAGAGGCCAAACAAAGAGACACATTTTCACTTGAGAATAGTAAATATCTGTTGGTGCATATTCATGTGTGAAGTTTATGGGGGCAAATGTAAGTAAGAGATGGTGCTGATTTGTGTACACCAATAAGAGAGGCCTAGTTTGGGTGGGGGAAAAAAAACAAAAAAAACAAAACGCTTTTCCCAGGCATTCCCTCTTGTCTTGTCACTGTTTAGTGATGCCAAGAGAGATTAATAAACATGGCAGTGACTCTGAGAAAAATCATGTTGCCTTCTGTTGAAACTGCATTGGCCATGATCGGTCAATGAAAGGCGGTGAGTTTAAAGGCTGCAAGACAACTGGGGATAGTGGAGTGAGAGTGGATGGATGCAATGCTGGGGCATGAGAGACAAGAGGGATAGGATGATGGGAAAACAAAATTGTCGGAAACAGGGAAGAAATGGGGAATGGTGTAAAGTGAAGAGGATAAGGAAGGGAAGGAGGTTGTTGAGAAGAATTTTGGTGAAGGGAAGTAGATGAGTTGGGAATGGAGGGTACATGGTGGGGCAAGGAGAGAGCTGTATGTTGTAAAATTACATGTTGAAGATTTGACATTGGGGGAGGAGGGGGAAGTGGGTTGAGGTTTGAAACTCCCAGGGGAGCAGGGTGTGTATAGCTCTCCTCTGAGAGTGGGACACTGACATGAAATGTGTGCTGAAGTTGTCTTTGCAACAAATCTGGATGAATCAACTGAGGCTCTATTGGGCTGTGCTGAAGCGCAGGTTTGTATTTTTCTTGCAGAATAACAGCAGTATCTGTCTGCATGCTGAGTGTATTGCTTGTCTCTGTGTGAATATCTGGACTTTTATGAATATTTTTCAGGACTTTCTGCATGTGCTCTCTTGCCTGCTCCTGCAAGACACGGTATTTGTCCATCTCCTCTGCTGAAAAGCTGATTGGTGCAGTGTTTTCTATACCTGTCTGTTTGTCATCTGTCCTAATCTGAGGCAAAAAAAGATTTGGGATGCTGCTGGAATCAGAGTCAGGAGTGTTCAGGGAACCTTTAAGGCTGCCAAGAGCCTCGTGGATTTTGGCATCCTCCTCTCTCTTCTTTTCCTGACTCCTCTCCAGCAGACCCTGTTTTTCTCTGGCCTTTCTCTGGATCGCAGGGCGTTTTCCAATGAGAGGTAAAATCATCGCTCTAGATGCTGTCTGTGCCAGAGTCTTACAGGGGAGCCTCCCAGGAGAAGCTGTGTTTGAAGCAGAGGATTCATTGTCTAACTCTGAACGGGTCTCCTTTACCAGTGTAGAATTACTCTCACAATGGAGGCGTGGCCTTTTCAGCTGGGTAATCTGGGGGAATGACTGAGAAACGGGAGGCATGGATGGAGTAAATGTAGGGCTGGCGTGCTTCCTTTCCTCTAGAGGTGTCTCTGGAAAAGTTGACGATACTGTGCAGGAGCCGACAGTTAACCTATCAACAGTGACTCCTGAGCAGGTGCTGCTTTTGCTCCACTCGCAGCTAAGTTCTGACAAGCTGGTGCTGCTACAGGGGCTACATGAGCGTGGGCTAGGGCATTTGCTGCCCTGTGCACCCATTCCACTCGGGCCTCTGGACGGCTGCCGGCTTGTCCACCACTCAGGACTTGAAAGGGGATTTGAACTTGACTGCCTTGTGTCTTCACATCTCCATGTTCTGCCTGGGCTATCTCTACTGTCACAAGTTGCCGTGGCGCAAGAAACTGATCTATTTGTTTCTCTGTCTTCCCAGCTGTCATTACTGCCAAAAGTCCATGTGTCAATGCTACTCCTGTCCCAATCTACATCTTTTGTCTTCTCATGTCTCCTGCTCCAGCATGTGGGACTTGGGTTAAACCTTCCCACATGATCCCACTGATTTCCTTTATTTTTCGGGCTCCATTCAACCCTCAACCTGCCGTCCTGACTGTCTCCAGCACGGCCACTTCTCATCCACTCCCACCGCTGGGGGTCTAAAGTCAGGCCTCTATCTCTGCGGCCTGACCAACCCTCTGATTTCATCCTATCTTCATGAATGAATTCTCTGTCCCTGCGGAGGAGTTTTCTCTTTTTCATCAGGCTGCTACCACAGTTGTTGTCAGGGTAACGGAAGTCAATGAAACTCTTGGAGTTGCTATGGTGACCCCTTTCCCAAAACTGTGTTGAGTTGCATCCCGGTGAGGGGGAACGAAAGAAATGGGACCGCCAGGGAAAAGCGGCTGCATCCCCTTCTTGCTTTCTCTCCCCTACTCTGCCCCTGAGCCCAGAGCACAAACTGTATGGTTCAGCCTGCTCACTGCCCAGCTTTGACTTGAGTTTACCATAGTTGCTCCTCTGAGGCCTCCTCTTTCTGACAGAGACAGATGCTGGTTCAGCCGCACATCTCCCCAGGAGACAGTTACTGCGTGAGCCAGCCACCCCCCTCGTTCTTTCCTTTCTTTGCTTAAGTTTCCTTGTCGAACTATTTTCAGTGTCTTTTGCTCTCCGGACTTCAGAGACAACGCTCCGCACTTTGAACTTTCGTAATTGTATTTTGTTTGAGGATCTTTCTTTCTTATTCCTCTTCTTTTTTCTTTTTGCCAGCTTGTGTTTCTTGGTGTTGGTCTTTTTCTTTCTTGGTGACACTTTTGGGACACCCACATGTGGCTCTGGAGTTCTGGCACACTTGTGTATTGTCTCACTGCCACATTCACACCTGGACGAGCTGATGCATATCCCCTGTGTGCCAGGCTGGATGACAGACCCTAATTTACAGCTCAGGGTTGTGATGGCTCTCTTCCTGATCCCTCTTGCACCCACTAATCTGCCTCCTGGAGTATATTGTGAGTTTGTATCAGAGCTGTCACTCTGAGTGGGGTCAAATGGATGGGGGGTTACCCCCATGCAATTTTCCTCTCTTAGCAGGCACCTTCCTTTGTCTGATGCTGATTCTGGTGATTGAAGCTCTTTGTTTTCAAGGAGCAGATGTGCTTCTGTCTCTACATTGATATGTTGCTTATCTTTTCCCTGTCTGTGTGTTCTCATCTCATGTCTTTCTCGTTCTTGTAAACAGGAGTGAGCATCTGCTGTTTGAACAGATGGCACAAACGAATTTAATTCACCTGAAAGAGCACTCAGCAGATTTTGTTGCGACTCTTGTGGATCTTCAGTAAGCCTTTCCACAGGTCCAGCATTTGTGCAGAGCGGGTTGCAGCTGTAGGAAATGTGTGGATGGGACTTTGTGAACTTAAGCAAACTGGCAGGCCATCTCAGGTGACTTGAGCCATCCTTTCCTTGCACATCTAGAAAATGATCACCATCCCTCTGTCTCAGTGTTATTTCATGTCTTTCTTCAACTCTGTCTTTCTGTTTGATGTCCATCTCAGACAATGCTAGTGCAGCTTCACACAGAGTCATTGCAGCCTGTGACTGGGGAATTAATAAGTCCTGACTCTGATTATCAGTGGCTGCAGAGGAAATAGGAAAACATTCCATCTGTTCCTCCTTCCTTGTGAACTCTCCGGGGATTGGTTCCTTGTCTCTCAACACTATGCTTTCAGAACTGGACTTTTCCTTTTCACTTTCATCTGCTTCCCCTAGTTCCTTGTCAATATCTTCCATTATCGCCTTTACTTTTTCCTTCATTTGTTCCCTCCTCTCTCTCTCCTCTTCCTCCAGGTCAGAGAAGACAGAAGCAGAAGGCTCTAGCCTGGGTCCTCTCCGAGAGAAACAGAAGGACACTCCAAGCCTTCCACCCACCCTCCCCTGAGCAGAGGGAGGCAGTTGGGAGCAAAAGCTGTGGCAAGATTCACGATGCAACGATGGAGGGTCTGTATGAGACACTGAAGAGATTGGAGGAGACTCTTGTAGAGCTGTGGCTAAAGGTATTTCTAAAAGAGATTGGCATGAATCATCTGACTTGTTGCTGAAAGTCCTTGGCTTTGTAGCTGTGCTTTGCTGGCGGTGGTCACAGGATTTAGGATTGTCCTCTGAGCTGCAGTTTCTTTGGTTCACATCTTTATCTTGTGTCTGACTAAAAGCTTTAGCTGCATGTATAAGCCCATAAGTCCTTCTTGGAACTCTGCAACAAGATATAAAATACACAAAAAGATTTTACTTCTTTCACATTTGTCACAAAATAAAACATAACTGGTGTTTAAAACACAATCCATTACATCTTAGAACTAAATGAAATGGCACATTGTTGGTCATATTTCCTGTCATTGATCCCTGAAAAGCAAAGTTAAATAATAAGCTCTCCTAAATATCTGTTGAGCTTTTCTTTTACATTAATGTTTTAAGTACAAATTTTGTTATTGGATTATTATTGGTTATTATTGGCTCAATTATCTTAATTTTTTTCTTTTTTTCATCATATGTCAATTAGAGTTGTGTTAAACATAAGGAAATGTGCTTAAGAAGTGACTGTTCCTTTCCTCGCAAATGCATGGGGGATGTTACAGCCTATTTAAATAATATTTGCTTCAGAAATAATGTAACAGGCTTAATGTCAGCCTCTGAGTTTTCTCCAGGTCTATCGTCCAGGGACTGGGCTGACTACTCCTAACATTAAGCTTGTTGGTCTGGAATAAAGATGCTGTTTGACGTTCTTGTCTTGTCAAGCTCAGGTTTTAGGGACATTTCATATTATAGCATAGCATAACAAAACAAAACATGACCTTTTTAAGTATTTTGATGTATTTAAACTGATCCACGATCCCTCATACATAATAAATAGGATCGACATCGCAGACCAGAAACATCCCTATTGGCATGATGTTTCCAGTGATGTAGATGCTATTATGGATTCTATTGTGAGCTCCTGGATGAGTCATTTATGCTGTTTGCTCCTGGTTAGGTTCCCCACTGTTTCAGGTTTTTCTATTTTCTGCAATGGCTCTCACTGTGGTATGGTGCCGTCCTTAGAAACTTCAAGACTCTCTCCATGGATAAATCACGTGTTTTGTTCTCTCCACTATTCTCGATTTTTATTTATTTATTGTATTTGGGTATTATGCGTTGCTTTTTGCCCCCCTAATGTATGAAGACAGTTTATCTATAAGTAATCTGTCGAAACTACAGGTCTGCCACTAATCAGGCCTGTTTCTTTGCAAGTAAGATGGATAAAAAAATTGTGGTTAATGAGAGCAAAGTTCTTTGTAAGACTTACTCTTTTAACTGATATAAATTGTTTTATTCTTATTTGAAAACTATAACTATATCTATAAGATGAAAAGCAAATAAAGGTTCAAAATATTTCAGGCTGTAAAAGTAAATTCACAATCCTTCACTTGAGGAGTCATTAAGTCATCTTGTGCCAACTCAAGTTATTAACAGAAATATAAATACTAGTACCTATAGTTCTATAACTGTTTGGTTGCAGGATTTTTTTAGGACAACTTCCCAGCACTTCTATTATTAATGTATAAATAAAATATTTGTTTAGTCCATTCCATAAAGTATGTAACTTTAGCACAGATTATATTGCTGCACTCTCAACAGAATACTCCCACATGAATAACAATAAGGAAAGAGTAAAAGAAAACATCCTTTGTTTTGTTTTCACAGTGATATCCTCCTATTTTCATCTGATTATAGAAGAGCACTTAATTGCAAATAACATAAGAACAACCAAGATGATTATAAAGTGGTGTACACTTTTTATCACTTCTTATAACTAAGATTACAGGCAAGTTTCAACTTTTTTTTCCTCTAGTATAATTAACTTTACATTTTTTCTACTCCTCGGTATCCTCAAAAAAAACCTGCATCTCCTTCACCTACAAATCATCCACTCTCCACGTGTCAGCAAGAATGTGTCTTTATGTTATATTTACTTCACCTGTGGCCTATCTAGCCAGCTGAGTGCTCTCAAATCTGTGCTTGCATCCATCAAGTCTAAGAAGCGATGACTGGATGTGACGCTCTCTAACCCCTCTGGACTGCTGCCACTGGTCTCATTACACACAGACTGCCACGGTCAGACACACATACACACGTTCCTCCTGCTCACCGCTGCCTTTCTTGCTGCAGCTGTGCAAGCTGATGCAGGCGCCTGAGAGCCTTCTCCTGTTTGCGTTGGTCCTTCCATGATTTTGAGGCCACGTTGCGAACAAACTCTCGGTGCTGCAGCTCCTTCAACCTCTGCGGGAAGCAGACAAATAAAAAGGGGTGGGTGGTTGGGGAGGAAAAAAGATGACAGAGAGAAGATGTGAGAGAGAAATTAGTTTCACAGGCTCTCTGCATGCAGCTGTCTTTCAAAGCCGTCAGCAAGCTCTGTTTGCAGATGTTCTCCCCCGAAGCTCATGGGCAATCAACTTCATTCAGCTTGAGGAAAAAGGGTTTTTTTCCTTTAACACACAGCTTGAGACCAAAACACTACCAAACACTGAAGAGCAGCCTACAGAAGCACTTGACATGAGGGAGTTACTGATGCTGTTTCTAAACTGTTGGAAGGTCCTTCATTTATGTTTTGCTGACAGAGAAGGAGGCAACAGAACTTTAAATGAAATAATGATCCCAGTTTAAGAAAAATGATTCACTGACTTCTGATTTTACATCAAAGGAACCACAAACATTGTCTGATGACTGCTTTTATGGATAAAAAAAGCAACTGAAAAAACCTACATCTTTAGAAAATATAGCAGCAAAGGTAAAAAGTAGTTCTTATAAGTTGATCAGAAATGACAATAACGTACAAAGCTCAAATTTAAAGTAATCCAACAGGACAACAACAAAAGCTTTACTTTTCTTGAAGGCTTGACCATTTTTAGTGGTTCAAAATCACTAAGAATCTAATAAGAATTTTTTTTTTTCATAATTTCCTTTTTTTGAGGATTTTTTTCCCCTTATATTTCTATCTGCTTTCTAATTCCACATCAACATTTACAACCACAGCAAAGACATGCAAATATCTCTAAAGATATGATGACTACAATTTGAGAAAGTTATCAGTGTTCTGTCCTGCAATCTTTAGATTGCTCTTACATGTATCTGCTAAACCACAAATCAAACCCAACATGGACATATAAACTGCAATAAGTCACACCCAAATAAAAAAGAATCTGTTATGGATCAAATTTAATTTCCATACACAATAAATCAATAAATAAAGGTTGGATTAAATGCATACAGTTTGGAACAACTAACGGTAGTTCATCTTTCACTATCTCCCTTTGTTTGTTCTCCAGTCTCCTGGTTTTAAAGCTGGTCCGTCTGAGCTAGAGTACAGTATATGTGCATGTACCAACATCTTCTTGCATGTGACGGGATGCCAGTCAGGGCTTACCAGCACAGTTTGGGAGCAAAATGGCAGTCAGTGCATCCATCAGACTGATGTGTTTACCTGAAGACTATCAGGGCTCATTATTGCCACATAAATGTATGTATATTTTATTAAACCAGTTTTATATATATAGTACTCTATATATTATTACTGCAGCTACAAAGATTGCTGAATTTTTATGTGGAAGTTTGCACCCAACTTTCAAAATACTATTATGCTGTGCTGCATACACAAATAGCTTTGTACCTTCTATGAATGTTTTCAAGTGTTTAAATACACAACCTCTGAAGATTAGGCCCTGGAACTCTTAGCCAAATCTCGTGAGTTTTCAGTTTACGCAGCCAACAACTAACCTGGAGAGGAGACTGGACAGAAAGGATTACACAGCAGCAAGTAGCAAGATCAGGATGGTTATTAGCCCTTTGAAATGTTGAAATGTATTTTTCTAAAAATCTGTCTCCCTGTTCTTATGCACCCCCTTTGTGCGCTCAAAGCGAATCTCCAATGACATAAATGAGATGCACAAGATCAGGCAACAACTGTTGCTTGGAGCAATACAAGAGAAGGCAGATGGATGTCTAACATCCATTACGTTTAACAGAAACTGAAACTTCTGCAAAATTAAAGTTGGTTTTATTTTAATTTATTTGTTTTATAGTTAACAAAATTTAATTTACATTCAACACAAATATATAGATAAGGCAAACAGGCGTGAGTGTTCGTGTTTACTTTTTTACCTGGGCGTTTAATAAAATGTTTTTCTTCCTCCTGACAGACTATAAATACATTTCAGAGATGAGTCTTCTGGACATACAAGTTAGTGATTTAAGAGCAGGTTCTTGTTCACATTTGTGAAACACAATCAGAGTTTGGCCACATTTCTGGTTATAGACACCTGAAATATGTCCAAAATGTCCAACTAACTCATTAGCAGATCATTTTTCAGCTTGCCCTTACTAAAATTACACATCTCAACACTTCCTGCAATCATTTGTTTTTGGGCTGCTTTTCTTCAATGTCAGTAACTTGTTCTGCGTCTTGGCCCAGCATGGCTAATGATGACTGCTCTATGCCCTCGAGAATCTTGTCCTGTCTCTTCTAAGGCTTGGCAGGAGGAGTTTTTAAGTACTCCAGGATGCTGTATTTTCCTATTCTTAGAAAACAAAAATGTATAATAAAGTATAAATGCAATACTTTTCATTTTTTCCTTGGGGAGAGAACATTTTCATTGTATTCCATTAAATGATTTTCAAGCTTTGTGAAGTGTTTACCCTCACAGCCTACATCAGGTAGTGAAATTCTAAATGTTCACTATAATATTTAATGTATTTTGAACCCAAAAAACTGAATCACAACTCTTTTAAAGGTGGAGACTATCTGTTTCGTGCTCTTGGATAAGAAAAAAAAAACTTGGCTGTGTAAAATATTATGTTGTCATGTTTCTGGCGTTATCGTGGATGGTGGGCTTAAAATATACTCCCTCATTATTTCGGTGCATTACATGAAAGTGCTAAGGGAAAACAACTGATTTACAATGTGTTGCCAAAGGGGTTTTGACAACTATCTTGTGTGTGGGAGCAAGACAAAGCAATATCTTTGGTTGTTTGATCATGCCAAATACACATAAACAAAAATGCATGAAACATGAAGAAAAACAGAAAGAAAAAGTGTGCTTTCATTTTAAAGAATGTGATAGGTCAATTAGCTTGGGCCCACCTCGATGGGTGGGAGTGTGTGTGTGTGTGTGTGTGTGAATTCCTTTATGTGAATCTTTAGCCATGGGTGTACTGGTTCTTTCAAGGAAACAATGATTCATGCCTCTCACTCCTGTTTCCATTTCTGACATGCTTTAATCCCTCTTTTATCCATCCTTGGCAGGTGTGAGAGTGCACAGACTTTTTGTCGCCACACAAATCTAAAGGGTAGGGATGCGAATCAGGAGTTCGGGAATAACTGCAAACTTGTGCAACACTTTTTTCCCTTTGCTTTCCAGTATATTCTAAATTTCTGCTAGTGTGAGCTCAAGGTTTGTTGTTTGCTTCATATATTTGTAAATGTAATCTTGGATTGTAATTTTCAACAGGAATACGCCACATGTACTTTCAGGTTGTGTTACACTGTTATCCTCCCATGCAATATGTATCTCACACTTACTAGCATGCACTCATCAGATTAGTGCCTCACTCATCAGATTTATTCATATACTCACTCATTTTTGCAAGCTGGATCCATTGCAGAAGTTGACAGTTGTCAGGTTAATCTCAGCTGTGTCTTACACAAGCTGGTGTCTTTTTACATTATCGAGGGATGCTTAACCTCCCACTCTGTGCTTACCAAGGATAGCTCCAGGTATACGCCACTGGAGCTGTGGGTTTTGGATCACTGAAACATGTAGATGCCTGAGCCGCCAGATGTTTGTCAAGTGTATAGATGTGGGAAGCTGTGAGTAGTTACGATGCCAAACTTATCCTACAGGGAATATTAATCATGCTGGATTAAACAAGCGTGTAAGATGAACTACTGTGGCTGGGGAAAACAGCGAAAAAGAGAAAGAAAAGATCTGAGATGCTGCACTAATACTGTTTGTGGCAGTCAGTAAGTGGAACAGACCAGTCTCTAACAGAACAAATATATGATGATGAATACCTTCTACTTTGTGCATTTGCCAACATATTTTCTTACATAAAAAGTCCCTTAGCTTGCAAACTTTAAGCAAAACCCAGTAAAATGTTACATCCAAACCCTTTCAAAAAACATGCAATCAAGACAATTAAAACTCATGAAAATCTTGTGTTTCAAATCATGGGAAATATATCTCCTGATTTTGTCTGTACAATTACATGAGCCTTTCGAAGGCTGGCCAGATGTTGTTATTCATAATTCATTCAGTTTCAATACAATTCAGTTTATTTATATAACACCAATTCACAACACATGTCATTTGAAGGCATTTTACAGGGACAATTCAACTCTATAATATCCCAACTCAACTGCTCAATAGAGAGAGCAGAAAGTACCATTTGGAATTTCTTATGTCTGTATTGCCAGTTTCCAATGTCTAAACCTCTAAACCTTTATTTAGAGTTTACCTCTAAATAAAGGTTTACAACAAAAATATTTCATTGGAACATACACTGACATTCCAATTCCCTTTATAGCTAAAAATTGTGTATTAAAAAGTTCAGCTTGCAAAACAAAGCAAATTAGCATTGAATTAGCATATCATTTAGCCTATTTCACCAGTTAAGCTGATGCAATCCAGTCACATTTTAGGTAGTTCCTTTCTTATTTCCTCTGAAACAATACATGTATAGCTCTTTAGGTGCCTATAGGTGTTATACGTGGTGGAGCTCCATCAGAAAACATCTTAAGTGTCTGTCTGCTGGCACTAAGCTATATAAATCCATACATTACCTGTAATTATTACTACCTCTAACAGTTAAAATGTATTGACCTCAAAATGAGTTTTGAGGCAGAAAATTCCATATGTAATCTCAAGAGTTGATAGCTACATAAAAAAAGTTGAAGCCACTGGATGTATCCTAGATGTTACTAAAACATCAGCAGACCCTTTAATTAACCATTTGCCATTCAGGTGACTGCCTGTTTTACTCCTTTGTTATCCATTATGTCCTCTCTACCTTTCAATAAAGAAGATCTCCCCTCTGTTTTTAGCCATCTGGATGTGATATGTACCTTTTGAATTTGTGTGCCTTGCAATTTCATGGCCCAATATGGGTGAATAGATTAAATTCCAGCCTAAAATGCAATAAAAATAAATATTTTTAATTTCTCCTGGTCCAGAATTTTAGATAGAGTCTGTATTTATATACTATGCTACAGTACATTTATATTTGTTTTGTGTTAAGCCAAAGTTTATTCCAATTCTCCTGCATAAGGGATGATAGTTTTTAAGCAGCTTTTAAGTAGACCTGGTAATAGGCTGAATACCTACACCCACCACCCGCATAACCCCTCCCTCAATCGAAAAACGAAAAAATTGGGATTGTTTTAGTAAAATCAATGAACATAATCAGCAGTAAGGACTTGTAAAGTCCTTTATATAGACATATTTACCCTGGAATCGATGGCAAGAAAAAGGAGACAAAGCAAACGCAATCAGCTTCCATTTTCCAAAGCCAATACTCCTGCAGGGAAACTGTCTTCAGCTAGAATTTCATCTGTTGTCTGTAGGCAGGAGGTGCATGCATCCTTTTATTTCTGCACGTGTGTCTGTGTATATGTGTGTGGGTGTATGGTTGAGTGTGTGTTTCCACTGTACCGCTGGCTACTGTCAGCTCAGTGCCTCATGCAGCTCGTTTCATGTGCCTGCCGTTGGCTAAAACAAAGCATTAACATTGGCCTGCAGTTGCCTCAATTCATTTCCAAAGAACAATGACAGAGGAGGAACGGCCCCTACTCGATGTTTATTTCATGATGCACGGTGTGGGCGTTCAGAAGTAGGAAGCGCTTTGGCTTGGTTGAGAGATCGCCTTGTGTTTGCGGACAAGTGTACAAGGGTAAGTGCATGTCTGTACGCTTTAGCGTGCAAGTATATGTCTTGGCATGACAACAGATAGCTTGAGGAGAATGGGCTATCAGGAAGAACTTTCAGCTTGTTAGTCCAGACTGGAGGTGAAGTGGGTGTAAGAGGAGGAAAAAACCCGCGGCAGACCTTCTACTAATAGTCCAATAGCTTTAACTCACCCAAAATTGAATCATAAAATTGTTCTTGAGCAAAAACTATCCAAAAATAAGTTTTATTTCAAACTGAAATTTTACATTTTAACTTACAAACTTTGCAGATTTGTTTTTAATTCTAGCTGTCTCTGTAACTTTTCATTTGTGCATACTGTACTCTAAACTATTGCCATGCAACTTTAAAAGTTTACTTTTTGGGGATTTTTCCAACACAAGTTCATTTCAAATAAAACTTCCTCTATGTGTTCTGCAAGAGTTACAACAAAATACCAGAATGATTGCCCTAAAATATGATGATAAAGTGCTGGACCTGTATCAAAGGAACAGCTCATGAAATATGCATTTATTTATGTGTACTAAGGTTAGAGTTGCCCTTTTGGTATGCAGCTGTAGAGCCACACACCCTGTGTCTCCAATTGTGATATCTTGAAGCCTAGAATCATATAAGGCCTTTATTAATACTTTAAATCAAATTAAATAAAGTTATAAACCAATAAACAAAAATGAACAGATAATTATCAGGTGTTACCAAAGCAGCTAAAATACATAAAAGGTTAAAAGTCATTGAAGGGTAGAAAAATTGAGCTCTTGATACTTGTTTAACGTAATTGTTATGATCTAACAATAAAACTGTCACATTCCAGCTCAGAAGCGCAAACATTCTGGCAGAGTGTTTCCACGTTTTCTATCAACACATAAAGTGCAATAGTAACAGATCCAAATTTCACTATAGGAAATCAAAAAATGAGGCCTGTTTTTCTGTCTATATGTTGCCAGTTTGTGTATGAGCATGTCAGGTGCATCGTTTGTCTACCTGTTTGTGTGCATGGTCGTAGGAGTTGATGTGGTTGTCAAACTCCTGGTGTCTCAGGTACTGCTTGTCACATAACTCGCAGTAGAAAAGTGACTTCAGATCCTCGATCGAGCAACCCAAAGCCCTCTCTGTGCACTCCTGCAGGAAGAAAGACAGAAGCATTCAGAATGAGAGCATAAAGGGTTAGAGAGACATAGAAAGTGAGAGGAGGAGCAAATGGCAGACAGTTATCCATTTAGAGCAAATCTGCATCCCAAAGACATCAGCAATAAAATCCTCTACATGTGCTCCACATAAAACTGTTAAACGGCATCCTATTAAACAGAGGTTCCTTTACTGGCACTGCTGGAAGCTGAACAAAGTCACTGAAGCTCTATTCTTACGGCAGCCGGAGCCTGGAGGTAGATGTTTAACACCAGCACAATAATATTAAACCTGCGTATGTACATTTATAGGAAATGTGTTGAGTTTGGCTGTGAAGGAAATGACATTGGATCGACAGGAAGCATGACCGTCTGAATAGAACAATTTAGACTTCTTTGCAGCAGAAAATTCCTGGATGTGTATAAACAAGATTGCATGCGCACAAATAGGTAAGCACAGTAGCACAATGACAGAGACATACACACAGACACACATGCACTGAATGAATGGCATATAGACCCAAGGGGATAAATTGCCTGTCTGCATGCTCACATCAACCAGAAGGCCTTTTTTGGGTCCAGAGCCTTGCACAGTGCTGTGTACATAGGTGTGTTCACTTGTTTGTGTATGGCTATGTTTGAGTGTGTGCACTAGTGTTGGGGGGGGGGGGGGGGGGGGGGGGGGGGGGGGGGGGGGGGGGGGGGTTAGTAGTGCATTCATGCCATGCTCTGCTTCAAAATGTAATTTCCCTGAGGCTAGGAGCTGCCAATAAACACTATTGAATTCTGTTCTACTCTGACATGATGGGAATTTAATTTGAGGTTGTCACTTCTTTTTTTCATTCTATCCTTCGTTCCATCCTTCGTCCATTCTTTCCTTCCTCACTTTGTCTAGTCTTTTTTTTATTTTCCTGCTTTCAGTCAATTAATTTCTTCTTTACTTCATCTCCTCCTTTTATTCCCATTGTTTCAATTTTAATTACATCCTGGTGCTCTTCTTTTCTGTTTGTGAAGTCCTGGGTCACCCGGTGAGTTTTTCAGGACCAACTGACATAAGTAAATATCAGCCCAAACTTATATATTGTCCATAAATATTTGTTCAATATTTTATACATGCAAATCAAGCCTTGAGACCTTTTAAAAGAAGCTTTCTGGGAGAGGGAAGGCTGTACATCAGTAGAAAATATTTGTGCGGGAGCTTTTGCTTCAATCTAAAAGCTAGACGTAAAGGGGATTTATAAAAACAACAAACTTGTTATGTTTCATTCAGAAATGGGTCAGATCTGATTGGATATCAGTATTAAACTTGGTGCTTATGTCATTCTAGGATTGGATATTAGGATTAGGCCACAGATTCACATCACACTCTAGATTCATCTGTATGGTGTTTTCTAAGACTGCTGGATATGATTTGACTGATATTGCTCTGGTAGTTTAAGCTCCCCAGCATTTTATTGTCATTACACTGTCACAAGTACACAGCAATGAAATGAACTCTGCATTTAACCAATCCCCTTGGGAAGCAGTGGGCTGCCATTGCTTGGCGCCCGTTGAGCAGTGTAGAGTTAAGGGTCTTTGCTCAGGGACCAAGAGTACTGCAGCCTGTGGGAGTGGGGCTCGAACTGAGAACCTCAGGATTCTTCCCTAACCACTAACCCCCCACCTAAGGTTTCAGTCAACAAATGGTTGCACAATCCTAAATATTGTTTTTATAATTTTATATTCTTTTTATAATTTTATAGACATAAATAGATATATTTGCTTTCACTTTGGCTAGTTTCATTATCTTATAAACAAAGTTAGCCAGTAATAAAAGCCTGCTTGCTGTTGCACAGTGAGTACTTGACATTGCATTTTTCCTTTGATATATTGTAATGTTAACAAAGAGAAAACACATGACGGATATGTTTTAAATGTATTTTGCGCAAACCTTCATAGTGTTGTAAATTTTCCAAAACCATTATAACAACAAAAATAGAGGAGAAAGCTTGAGTATGGGGGAGCACTTAGGGGCCTATGCAAACAAACAAAGAAACAAAGAAACAAACAAACAGAAAAGTTAACTCAAAATTGTTTTATTCTATTTCATTTTATTTTACTTTTAACAACCACAAAGCATAACATAATTTTAAATATCAACAATATGGAAAACCTTGATGAATGGGAATCTATTCAATCTTTTAAATGATATGGAGAAATAGCTGCAACAGTTAGAAATCTAACCTAAATGAGCACTTGGGTATTTTATTCCACAAAGCTAAAGCTCTTTATTTTTAGCTACAAAATCTTTTTTGCCACAATTTCATTGCGTTGCAAGAACACCTCCACACTTCAAGCTGTCAGTCAGTTTCATATACACATAAAGAGTGAAAAGAAGGAAAGGACTGACAGGACTCTTCCAGACTGAAATGAACCCAGATGGAACTGATATATATCGATCCTGTGCTTCTAGAAGTGTGTATGTGTTTGCCATGGTATTGATCTGACCTGCAAGCTTAGGTCACTTGCAGGAAATGATCCAATCACAGAGACCATCGTTCCTTGGAAATAAACTTAAGAGATGAGGTGGAAATAATGAATGCTAGGGTGTATGCGTAGATGCATTTATACTCTCCGTGTGTGATTTTGACAAATTTTTCGCCTGGCCTTACCTCAGGATATATTCTAACACCTTCCTCTCACTTCCCTGCATTCTGTCAGGATAATTACTTTTAACAATGAAATATAGTATGGAGTGTACACATGAGGAAACAAAAAGAAAAGGTGCGAAGGCACCAAAGCAGAAATGTGTGTATATCTGTGTGTGCACTCAAGAGTAATTTGTTTGTGTTAGAGGCACCCTAGAAAATTTTTTTTCTGTTGTACACCAAAATCAAACATGAGAACTTTAATTGGCTCTGAAGACACACACGCGTGTTATTCCTAACCCTTACCCCGCATGTTGGCGCGCTTAAACCCATTTATAGAAATACATAGGCAGAAGGAGCATCCTAACACACACTGAAGCTTGTCCAATAATACACAGTCTGTCAAACTGAAATGCCAGAGCTAAATTAATCTCGACCTCAATTTACCTCACTAGTGTAAATCTATTCTCATCTAAACACAGTTGATATATCTGCAGGCCTGAATGAACATTCAATGTGTCATGTTTTCAGATTAATTTTGCAGGCTTGTAAATGTTAATCTTCTTCAATGTTTCTTGATTTTTTTTTTCTTTTCTTGTCTTGCGTCTCTCCAAGAAATGACATTTCCATTCCTAAAACTGACATAAATAAGAATAATTACCGACCCTCACCAAATTATCAGGAAACGTGGATTTCTTAGAAGATTTTTTCTTTTTACCTGCTATGAAAACGAACATGTGCTGTTTGTTTTACAGAAATAATCAGTTACAAATATATCCACAGAAATTAAATAGTGCATAATGCATTAATCTAAAACCTAGATAAAAGCATAGACACAACATTTTAATTCTGGAATTTTTCAAGTCTGTATAGTGTTTTTTATAGATTTTACAACACATAAAATCTAACAATCTATGGGCCTTAAAATTGGTGGGATTGTTTATTTATTTATCTATGCAGTTTTATTTAACAGTTTATCTTGTGTACAGAATGTGTTGCTCAGCATTTAATTTTGGCATTACTGGGGATGCTACTTTAACATTTGTGATTAATATCCACAATGACTTAAAAATTGATTACAAGTCACATTCCGAATCAATTGACTAATAAAGATGTACTATCTTCATGTTCTTATTCTGTAGAACTATCCTATTCTTTGCTTTAAGAGACAGTGAGACCTTGTATTGCCAAATCCATTGGGTTACTTGCCATTATTTGATCTACTATTTTCATTACAAAGGCTTAAATATTATGTCAGCCCACTGACACAACCATTGGATTGCCAGAGATGCTGATAGAGTACATGAATTCCACACACTACACACTGTTCCCAAGATAATTTAGAGGCCACATAAAGTTGATTCCACTTTGTTGTAATACCGCTAACAGCTGACAGGGGAATATTTAGTTGTTATGAAATATCATTAGTACATTAGAGGTGGTAACCTACTGTAGTATCTCTCTTAAAACACAGCAACTTATTAATTATCATGTGTTTAGCAGAGGTCTGCTTGTCTAGGTAGTGGATTTAATGCACATGAGCATGAGAGATATTGAAACACTTTCTTTCTCTGATTTGGAGGGCAATTCGATACCCTTGAGAATATAGTGTGGTTAAATTTATGAAGAAAAATTCATTAAAATTATTATTGCTAGTAGTTCATTTTCCTGTTAGTGCATTTTAATAGCTTATCAGAGAGCTGCCATCTAGCAGATACTTTTTTAAATAATGCAAAAAAAAAGATCTTCTTCTGTAACCATAGGATACAGATGATTACTAGTGTACAATAGACTTTTACATTTTAAAAGTCTATTGTACAGTTTAATACAATTTTATTTATCATTTTTTAGAACAGATTATTTCTGACTAGCTCAAGCTCTTTCATCACTTTGTGTATTTGTTCACTTTTCCATTTTAGATGAAGCACTCCTCTACAGTATATTGGGATGGGGAAAATCTACTGATTGGAACTTCATAACCTATCTTCAAAATAATTATAACTGTACTCTTTATCAATAAAGTAAAATGTATTTAATTGCATGAATAATTTTCATCTATTCATTATATTTACACACAATCTATTCGGTATAGATTACACTATACCGATTTTGGGTTGCTTTAAAAAATATTGTGATATTTTATATCAAGTTTACACCGTTAAATCCATCAAGGTTTGCAAACTGCGAAACACTACTGTTCGTTAAGCCCTTACAAGCAAGATGAGATGTAACCCCTATTCCTTTCCACCCCACGGACTTACAAAAAGGGGTTTATGATAAGGATAGACACTATTATGTGTTCTGCCTATCAAAGGGGTCCTATGGGAAACCTCCAGGCAAAACTGAAGTCATTCATCTCATGAAGTACCATCTTCTTTTATCTCAAAGACCCAGCTCATATCAGAGCCAGAAACCTTTGCTTCATTTGCGAGATAAATGCGCCTCCTTATCTCAGTAGGTTCATCTCTACCAGAGGCATCCAGAACATGGCTCTTTCACTATGTTAACAAAAATGTAACGATTATCAGCATTTCAAGACGGTGTGTGCTGTAAGCCAGGACCATATCGGTTGAAATATAAAAGGGAAGGTCCTAATTTCTACAAACCTCTCCTGAAAAGTAGTTAATTAGTTTGTCTTCAAATTGAACTAAAAGACGATACTCAGGTAATTATATAGATAGATAGATAGACAGACAGACAGACAGACAGACAGACAGACAGACAGACAGACAGACAGACAGACAGACAGACAGACAGACAGACAGACAGACAGATAGATAGACAGACAGACAGACAGACAGACAGACAGACAGACAGACAGACAGACAGACAGACAGACAGACAGACAGACAGACAGATAGATAGATAGATAGATAGATAGATAGATAGATAGATAGATAGATAGATAGATAGATAGATAGATAGATAGATAGATAGACTTAAGGAGTCAGCGGATTTAATATCATGGTTGGAGGACAGCAATGCTGAAAATGAAAATCAAGTGGAAGTTAACAAAAGGACACTTAACACAGGAAATAAAACAGCTATTTACTACATTAAACTTGCAATGAAGTGCTACAGAGAGCGCAAGTATAACCTTAAAAGATCTACAGAAAGCATGTCAGTTAGGGAGATTAGTCAGCCATTGTGTTTTAGTCATAAGACTAAAACACAAAATCCACATTTTCTTTTAGGACTTCAATATTATCTCCCAGGAAGAATAAAGTTTATTCAGGGATAGAAATATTAGAATAACTTTACTACCTAAAGCTTGCCGTTTTCTTCTATATGAAAAAATCTTAGAATCCATCCATCCATCCATCCATCCATCCATCCATCCATCCATCCATCCATCCATCCATCCATCCATCCATCCATCCATCCATCCATCCATCCATCCATCCATCCATCAACAAATATTTACACAGCTAATGTTTTGGTTGTTAAGAAAACAAGTAAAAACGATATATTCCGGATTACATGAAAATAAATAGACAAAGATGTGACCGAACTCATCAAAGCAATTAGCCATAATGGGCCTTGATGAAAATCTATTCTTGCTGTTTTTCACTCTTTCTCTGCCTCAGAATTCAGCATCTTTCTGCTGCCACAGCTCAGGTCCCCCATCAAGTGAGATCCTGCTGATGGACCCCACTGAGCAGAACCATGCTGAGGTAATCATCTGCTCTCTTGATACTAATGGTCACCATGTCTGATCCTTTAGCATTTTTAGGACAGTCTGTGGCTTTGGCTTGTTCCCCCACAATGTTTCCACTATACTGTGTCCCTTACCTGCAGATACAGATTTAAGATATCTCTATTTAATCACAAATCTATGAATGGTTGGCCATTTTTACTTTAAGGAAGCTCGATTTTGGGATCTAATGTATACATCAAACAAAATCCCAATCTTAAATAAAATTATGGCTTACATTTTAGATGGATAAAATTATTAATTTTGCGGTTTATTGACTTGCTGAGCTGCTGCATTGTTGTCCCTGTTGCCACATCTAACCTTTGATATTTTATTGGAAACTTAAAACTAAATACCTTTATTTATATGGTGATGCTGGCAGTGACTCAGAAAAGGCAAATTTTGTCCCTTGAAAACATCTACTGGAAAACTAAAACCAAAGGCAAAGTGAGATCTTTAAAGACCCAAAAAAGAAAAAAAGTAAAAAATCATCAAATTACAACAGATAACAAAATCATGGTCTATATGCTTGGTTGAAATGTAATGACCTATTCCCTGCATCTCTTGTTTACAAAAGCTGGGATAGAGAATGGAAAAAGCATGGGGAGTTCTCCTCAGAAATCAAATCACAAAATAGAGAAAAGCATATCAATGCAATTCTTAATACAATGGAGAAGAAGCATACGGTAATACAGTTTGAGTTTTTGCCAGCTCATAACTGTCTCACCAGTTATTCTTGTATACTGTACAGGTAGCAAAGGTCACACGTTTGCTACAGCCATTTTGTGGTTCTGCTTTAAGTGTTTTTTCTTTTTTAAAGCTGCTAAGTCACACATTTATCATATTAACAGTAACAATCCTCCACTGCTTTCAAGGCTACATTTGAAGTTATTTAGAATTTAATAAAATATGGTCCTTGGGAAGGCAGTTCACTATTTTTGTTCTTTAAAAAAAAATCACACACAGTCACATAATGGTGCACCATTGTGTGTGCCGTGCAGGGACACATGCAATTACTAGAGGCCTTTTTCACAGAGCCAATATACAGGGTTAATTCTAAGTTATTCTGGCCTAATTAAGCCTTTACTCAGTTTCAAAAAAGCATTAATGCAAAATTTACTATGGTGATTTGTTCTGTGCAGTTAGCCTGCTCCTGACCAGGATAACAGCCAGGCTTACTCAATTTGGTGCCGTATCGACTCAGTCAGCGGTCACACCGATCAAATACCAACCAGCTTTGTCAGTGATTCTGCCTGGTTTGGATTGTTTTATCATCTTACATTATAAACTACTAATATTTTGTTAGAAATTCAAGTACTTTAATTATTTAACTCTTATGCTAGCCCTTACCATTGTCAATTTATACGCTTTTGAAATATTTATCGATTATTATTAATTTTCTATGTAGATTGCTATGGTTGGATTGTGTAGTCATTTGTACTAGATATGTGTGAAATCTGGTTAACACTTTATCCAGCTGCCACCAGCATCCAAATGTTTTTAATATTTTATTTTGACTTGCTGTTACGTCTGTCCTCTTTGTTGTGTAGCCATTTCAGTTCCCTAAGAAGGTGTAGTAGGAGATCTTTTCTTACGCATTTTTTACCACGTTGGTTGAAGAAATCCCCACAGCCACGTAGCAAGCAGTGAAATAGAAGGTCTGGAAGGGAAACGAAAAGAAAAAAAGGTCCCCGCTACAGTGTTAAATCAATGAGAAACCCCCACCAATCACAAAACAAGGTCTGTGGTCCACTATTGGTTCCTGACATGTCAATCAGGGTTGTCTGCTGCTCCCTCCCCCCTGTGCTGGTACCCTGACACATGAACAAATCGACCCCCCTCTATGAATTTACTTGCACAGTTCAGGCACACCATGTTTAAAAGAAGAGGATTTTTTTAAAATAAAAAATAATCATACAACAACAATCACTAATAATTCTACGCTGCCATTGCTTGTTATGGAAGGAACCTGCTGAGTGAATATTTTAAAAAGAAAAAAAAAATTATCAGACCTCAGAAATAGACTTGCTAAAACTGGCACTAACTAACAAAACTAGAACTACTAATGCTGGAGAAGTTCTTTACTGAGCTGCTAAACCAGTGAGTATCTTTTTTTCAGATGGAAAACAGCAGATAACTAAGACACAGAAGCCCTGTAACAAAGAAAAGTAAATCAGAGAACACATCATAATAAACAGAGACAGATTGAATAAAATGAAATGCAGAAAAAAATACTTAATGAAACTCAAAATCCAACAGATCGCAACATCTAAGTTTTGGTTTTGAAACCTATGGCCTCTAAATAGTATCACAAAAATCATGAAAACAGTAAAGAGCAAGATTTTGCTTTGCATAGTTTTAATGTAGAATATAATTCATAAATAACAAATGCTGCACATCAAATCTTTTATTTAGGTATATGAACTTTAATACCCATCTTTCCCTAAATCCTTTAAAATGTCTATTATTATAGTATATTATTGTTCCTATTCTATGCATTAGATAAACTAATTTGCTAGCAAGTTGTATTTCATTTAAGTTTTTTAGGTAAAACTGGGTCAGATCAGATCAGGCCTTTTGATATTAAAAAAGCTTTAAAGAAAATGAAATACAAATTGATTAATGGAAAACTTTACAAAAGATATATATATATATATATATATATATATATATATATATATATATATATATATATATATATATATATATATATATATATATATATATATATATATATATATATATATATACTGTATATATATATATATATTGGTATGCCAAATGTTTTTTCCGATTCCTGCTTAAAATTGGTTTAAAAAGGGTAAAAAAGGTTTAACATATGAGCCCATGACATTGAAAAAACAAAAATCAAGTCTTCTTTTCATTACAGAATACATGACTGAGTAAATAAGTTGTTATGATTTAATCAATTTAGCTAAAATAAACAATTCATATTGCTCCCACTAGCCATCTGTTCTTGAGCTAAATTGTTTCTCTCATCTCACCGGTCACTCTCTTGTTGCCTGTAATTAAATATTGAACAGTATTTTCATGGATTGCTAGAGCCGACCTTAGAAAAAGTGCAAGGATTTACTCTGAAGTCTGAGAAGATTGATAGTTACTGCGGCGCTGTATTTTGAGAGCATTTTGCCTCTTAATTTGATGATGTTTGGATGAGACACAGAATGGGGAAAGATTATTAAAACCGTTCCCTAATGCAAATTCGATGTGACTCGAGAAGAGAGAAGCAGTTTTATTTGACGAAGAGAGCAGGGAGGACAAATAGAAAACAACATTTACACCAATTATGTATTAAGATATTTCTAGATAAACACATAAAATCTCATTAATGTGTCATTACAACTGAAAAGATATGTGAATGCAAGTGGCAAGTACCAATAATTTTTAAACAAATGTGTATTTGTGCCTCTCCAGGCCTACTAAATATGCTGGCTTGGACATTAAGGGATGTAATTGATCAGAGGGTATAATTGTTAACAGCACCCTAACACAGGTTTTAATTGCAATCTTGGTTCAGTGTTGAAACTGAAACAGAGGAGTACTGGCAAAAAATAGGACAGAACAACAGTTATGCATGCATAATAAATGCAGATAGAGAGTTTGGAAGAACACAGCCAATGGTTACAAATTCTCTCTGCTCAAATATAGAAACCTCTGAATAAAAACTTCTAATGCAGGGGGGATAGGAGAGAAAATAGTCAGATCCTAATGAATACTGCAACTTTCAAAGAAATTATTCTTTATTTGATTTCAGTTGCCAATCATAAACTGGTCATAAGAACTTATGTATTGTTTGGCAGAGTGAATTGTTATAAACATAGCATTGGATTTGCCATCAATCTAAATATAAACCATATAATTTTTATTTACATTGTTTGATAAATTGTCTTTTTCAAAACTGACACATTTGAGGTAATTAGCAATAGAGTTAGAAACGTCTGGGGGACGGGCATCCTGATTGTTAGCCTGCACTGTTCCTGGGAAGATGAGGTATAAAAATAGAACATCATAAAACAATACTCTAGTTCTTCCCATGTAAGTACAAATTAGTGCTACTATTACAGCACAGCTAGCTGTAACAGGAAGTTAGAAAAGTAACATTTTTAAAACCTTGACTAGACTCTAGTTTAAAGATAGCGGGGATATGATTCTTGTCATGATCTTGGCGCTGAACGTTTGGTTTTTTCCTTTGCTCCTTGCTCCCCTGTCTAATTGGTTCTGCGGCTGATTATCGCCGATCATTTTCACCTGGTTCCTCTACTATTTAAGTTGTGTGTTTGCCTCCCATCAGCGCCAGGTTATTCGTGTGTTTTTCTGAGACATTTCCTAGCAATCTTTAGTCTGTCCGTTTCCTTGATTACGACCAGTTTTCTGCCCAGTTTTTTGCCTTGTCCCTGTCTGCTCTGTTTGTCACATCTGGTCCTGGATTCTACCGGCTTCTGAACCTGGAACTGTCTTCTGACTTCGGCCTTGGATTTCCCTTCTGGACTCTGTTGCTGCTCGGCGTCTGCTGCTCGCTCTCTAGGAACTCTGGGGGCGTGGCCGCCACAACTGCGGTCTAAGCTCCGCGAACGGACTGAACTTTGAATCAGGTCAGTGACTTTGCTCCAAGTCGTATTCAGCTCCACATCCAGTCACTGACCTGTATTCTCCTATCGCTGCAGAGATCCGCCCCGCAGCAGACGAGCAGCCCCGCGTATCTGTTTGTGTTTAATAAACGCTTTGAACTTTCCCACTGCCTGTCTCGCCTCGAATTCTGGGTCCAATATTCTGAGATCGTTACAATTCTAATGTCTTTTTTTTGCCATGTGGCAAGGATTCGGGATAATTCTGCACAATTATTGCCATGTAAGGCTAGCAGGTGATTGTAGGAAGCTATAATTTTCCTTTCTCTGTAGAATAGACTTAAAGGTTTTAGTGGACTCTAGCTGATTGATATATTTGTTTTACAAATGTTTCTGCTTTTATTCTGCTTTTATTTTTCTTCTGTTTAGTTATCTAATTCATGTAAAGCACCTCGAGTTGTCCATGTACTGAATTGTGCTATACAAATAAAATTGCCCAGTTATCAGAATGTTGCAGAAATGCAAGATTAAAAGTTGTTGCAAAGATTTTTTTGTTGGATCCTCAATATAGAGTAGTTGTCCTACTGGCAAACTTTGGGTAAGAGAGACTTCAAATAAGTTATTTGCTAGGCTTTGGGGTGCACAATCCACTGTCACTATCTCTTATACAATAGAAGAACATGAGTCTTGACTAGTATGGATGTGTGCCACAGATACAAATCCCCCCTTCCATGGGGGTTCGTGACTCAGGAGGAGTCATGAAAGCTTGCTACAGCAAAAGTGTTTAGGCTTTTATAGTGTTGTTTTTATTTCTAATGTATATTTTTTGTTTAATCTGCTGGTGAGATCTCTACCCACTGTTTCCGATTTGTGTGGATGCAGTAACACAACGCAGGTTTTTATTGAAATACCTGGCAGGATAAAAGCTGTTTATAGAAAGCTTTGGTAATTGTTAGCTGTTAGGAACAACAAGAGGAAAATATTTAGCCCATCCCTGTTATTTGCTACATATGTACTGTTTGCTTATTTGTTCAAGTATCATTACACTTCAAAAAATTCAGCCCCAGAGCCAAGCACTTTAACAGGTAATATTTGAACTAAAGGCATAATGTCACACTGCTTCAAATGGTGTTTCCAGTAATATCTTGTAAATCAGTCAAATCAGATGAGGAGGGGGAGGAATATGAGAAGAGTGAGACAAGGACAACCATATGAACAGGAGACATTTATCAATTCACAGAATTTCTAATTACTATGCCTTCTGAGAACAATTTAATAAACTATACCCAACTGTTTATCAAGCTCAATTAAGTCTTTAATTATCTCCACCTTTAGCATTGTAATGAATAGAAACAACTCCATCTGAAGTGACGACTAAACCGTCTCTAAGCACATTCACTGTTTTACCCCTGCCTGCCTCTAAAATGCTCCTCTGATACTTTCTGTCAGACACATTTATTTACGCAAATGGAGAGGCTCCGACAGCAGAGGCGTCTGGCAAAGCAAGGAGATTTTGTGCCATTCTTTTGAAGCTAGTGACAGTTGACCCACGGGCCAAATTGCTCGTTACTTTAATAACCTGAGGATGTCTATGGCAGGCATACTCATGCAAACGTGCTCGTACTCAGACACAGAGTGCCAAGCAGCATTGCAGAGTGTTAATGAGCTGATATTTGCAGCCCTAATGTATCTCCCTTGGCTGCCTGTAATATGCCTCTGTGGTGTGGTCCAACCCATTTATTCATTTGATGAGTTTGTATCCATCTTCATGCATGCTCCAGTCTGTCCTCTGGTTTATTTACAACTTTCTGGAGTTTGTGTGTCGTATGGCTGTCTTTGTTTCCTGCTCATTAATTGAGCCAATTAGGAATTTGGGTAAAACATACTCTCTCCAAACATATACTGATAATACAATTTTTGGACACATCCAAAGAGGCACACAAGCTATGAAGTCAAGACAGGATGTTTCACAGAATGCACTTTCCTTACAATTACACAAATCTATTTTTGGTACCCCTCCATTATGCCAAAATGAGAATTACGGTCACAGTAGATTAAAGTAGACCTGACATTTATGTGAGAAGTTTCAAGATTGCTGCATTTATGAATTCGTGGAACTCATTCTGGACCTCTTGCAGATTGATTATATGGCAGGCTATCAAGTGAATAGCCTGAATTTTGAGCAAGTAAGACCATTGGTGAATACAGCTAGAAATTGTCAGGAGGATTGAAGGAGTGAGAGTGCATGCTGACAGGAGTTGCTGCTTCACACTGTTTCACCTGTTCTAATGTTGCCTTCCAGTAACCTTGTGATATTGTAAATTTGTCCAGATTTATGTGATATTGATAGTAGCACAAGAAGAAAGTCATCAGGGAGCCTTAGCTCCCATTCTCAACAAATAGTAAACAAAACACAGCGGCTTCTTGTGAACTTATCCCAGATGCTACTCTGAAGAATTGTGAGAATGCATCTCCAGCAGAGAATCTTGTTTTATTGACTGCATACGAATATACCTACTGCAGAGAAGACAGCAATTCTTTTTTTTCCGGCATATACTCTGCAGGTCCCTGGTGCTCTGAAAAGGGCTTGTGTGTGAGGTGAGATCTGCAGACAGAGGAGCAAAAACTGTCTAATGATAAAAATATTCGGTCTAATAACATCAGTCTTAAGTTACAAAAAACTGTGTGCAAATTAAAATTTTCCATTTATATAAAATCCTCATTGAGAGAAGACTGTTATGCAGTTTAAACCTCTGTTTCTTCCAGAGGTTCCATGTGCCTTCATCTCTTTGGAATTGGGAAGTGGTGGATCATCAACAGAAACAAAAGAAGAGAAAAAATGTCCAGGTCAAATGAGTTTAAAAGTTAAAAATATAAATAATATAATATTGTGAACATAGTTTTCTTATTTTCTCATTTACATTTCTTTGTTACAATTCCAAGCAAGGATGAGAAAAGCAGGTGTCTGTGTTTCTCTACTCTCCAGAGGCCTCCTTTCTCCTTGTCTCCCTGTCTTTAGAGTTTTTAAGGATTTCGAGGACAGACGGTGGTAGCAGAATAACATTTTTCTTGTAATTTAAGGAAGAAGTTACACTCTCTGCCAGCAAATATATTGCACACAAACATCTGAAAAGTTTTTCATGGTAAATATTAAAGAGGTTGAACTTAAAAAAGACAATGAAGATGAATAGATATTTACAAGTCCTTGTTGTATGCATGTCAGATAGGTTAGTTGTATATGGCCTGTGCTTGTATATGGCTTAACGGGTCCAAGGACCACAAACAATTTACAATTGATCAAGTCATTCATCCTGCACACATTCACTCACTGAGGGTGGCAAGCTACATTGTAGCCACAGCTGCCCTGTGGAAGACACACAATGACGGAGATAGAAGGAGCTCTGGTTCAAACCGATGATCAGAACGAACTTCTGCATCCTGTGCCACTGTGGCCACCAATAAACCTTTAGCAGCTTAATAAGTCATTGAACCATATTTTAACAAAAACTGATGTTACCAAAAGTATCTATTTATACATATTCTATCATTATTTGCTCTGTATTTGGTCTCCAATTCAGTTTAATAAATTTATATAGTGCCAATTCACAACATGCCATCTCAGCACTTAACAGAGACAATTCAAGCAAATCATTTAGTCAGACTGGTTTAAACTTTAGTTGACAGCAATCCCTCACACCAAGCATGCTTGTAGCGACAGTTGAGAGGAAAACTCCCTTTTAACAGGAAGAAACCTCCAGCAGAACCAGGCTTAGTGTGAGTGGCCATTTGTGGAGGCCGACTTGCTTCAGTCCTTAGAGTTGAAAATAAATCTTGCCATGTACTGTCCCACAGCAGTAGACTAATAATGACCAGACTTAGTAAAACCCTGGAAGTGTACAACATCTGGCACAGAGATATCCACAGACAAAAATGTAAGTCTGGAAGTTGCAAGGTTAGAGGTCTGTCTATCTGACTTTTATGTAGAGCACATTTCAAAGATGTTCCTTTAAGAAGTAAAATAAATTTGCCAAGCTATGTTTCCTATGGGCTGGTTCTACCTACTGTAACCTCTGACCAACCATTATTTTTTCCCACGTCATGCAGAGCTGATCCCTCTTAGAAACAGTGTTTGCCTTCGCCAAGGAGATTATGCTTTTGCTTATGTTTGTTGGTTGGTTTGTTAGGTAGAAATATTACTTTTAGTGACCATTAAAGGATTTTAATAAAAATTATTTTAAGAGGTGTGTCTCATATTAATGAACAAGCCATTAAATGTTGATGATAATCCAGAGCATAATCCAGATACAGGAGAGTTAAAAAAAACCCTCCAAATATTGTGACATAGGGATGGATGGCAGCAATGACTATTTAAGATTGGACTCAAAAAGTCCTGAAGAATTGTACTGAAAAGAAAAATAGAAAAACACAAGAAAAGGGAGACATGCATAGCTCAAAGAATTTATTTGTTCGTCAAAGGAAAAGAGCAGAACAGACACTGTGGCTGCAGACACATGCTGTGTCTTATGCTTATAGACATTGCTGCCCTTTTTTGGGGTGATGATCCAGCTCAAGCACGAGTTTTAGCTATAGGTGTAAAATTTGCTGCAGGGCAGAGGTCTGCACTATCAGAGTATTCTTGTTTTTATTTGATAATTGTCTCTTATAAAAGTATCATGTACCAATGTCCTGTCAGTAATGTTTATATCAATCAGTTGTAGGTTACAGTTAATGATGAGATGTTGCATGCCAGCAGCTTAGCATGCCCCAGAGGCTGAGGCCAAATACAAAAGCCATGTCTGCCAAACTATTAAGACAAAGCATACAATGGATTTACATTCAGCTTCTTCTTCATGACTGAAATTTTAACTTATGGTGTGTTCACATCGAACATCTTTAGGATGTTGGAGGGGCCAGTTTCCCTGCAAAGTCTATTGTGCATGTCTGTCAAGGGGCATCAAAAGGTTCTTTGTGATGTTTTGAAGCCTTTTGTGTATTTGACCATAACGGGTTTTGAGCTGTTAAGCTTTGACATGCAATGTTATGGAAATAATAATAATTGCACTTTATTAATCTCACATTGGAGAATTGTACCTCTGCATTAAACCAATCCCTTTGGGGAGCAGTGGG